GGCTGCACCACGGGGCGAAGGGCGAAGGGGGAGAAGGCGCTGCGGCGTAAACCGACTGCTCACTGGCGCCGTCGTTCCCCTGACCGAAGAAACGCCAGAGCAGTTGCCAATTTTACCCCACGGCGCCCGCTGTGAACTCCTGTCCAAACCCTTTCCACTTTTCAGCGTTGGCGGCCTGGATGCACGCGACGCCCGCAGCCATTTTATCTGCTCAGGCGCGGTCTGTGGCCCCCTCAGCGGAGGTGTCGGTACCGGCTGAGGGCAGCAGCCCCACAGCAGCGAAGGGTTCAGGAGGGGAGCCGTGTGAGATCACCTCAGGGCAGGTGGGCTCTGGGAGGCTGCTGAAGCTTCAGAGCGGATCAGCTCTGGGCAGCGCCGGTCGCACGCGTCCACAGAAGGTCTGAGAGGGTGGTGCTGTGCTTCCATGGCTGCATCCACAGCTGCCGAACAGGAGATGGCAACTGCCTTTCCCTGCACCTCCCCAGCTGCCAGCAGGGCACGGTGTGGACACGGCTTCAGTTTCCTGCAGCCAGTGAATCTGTGAAGGTACCCGCTATTGACAGTTAATTAAAGGGGTTTCAAACAGATACAACTGCACCAACCCCATTTACATCACTGCCATTTTTACATCCAGATACACACTTAGCCCCTTATGCAAATAAACAGTTTATCACAACACCTATATTCTTCTGAGGAAAATTAAGTCACTTTCTTAGAGTCACTCTTTGTCAGGGAGTGACTATTTCCTTTTACATAAATTGGCTACCATCCACGTTTGAACCTCAGTGATCCTGCACTCTATTTTACAGGTGTTACCTGATTGCACAGTACTTGATTCACTGGCTGTTGACTGCCCATTAATTAGTCTGAATCCTAGGTGACGGCTGGTATTCGGTGTATTTCATATGTGCAGCACTGTTTTAGCAATCCATAGGATTATACATTACTAAATAAAACAACTCACGGCTTTACAAGAACTTTGTATCAATTGTTGGAGATCTTCCTTACTGAAGAGGATAGACAGGTAATTCTGAATATCACACACTGAAATAGTGTAGATTGTGAATACCACCACACCACTACACTTAAGGACTGCTCAGCAACATTTTACGGATGGGGAACTTGAAATTACTTGCTAAATAAGACATTGTGAGTCAAGAATATGCCCCCAGATTTAGCTACTGTCAGTCTGAGTAATGATGGTCAGTTTGGATGATACAAGCAACAGAAATTTGTGTAATAAAATTCCTTTTCTGAATGTACATACCAGCTATAAACATTCCTGGTTAACTCTGAAGTTCTAAGTTCAGGGTAGTTTGAGGAGAGCTACAAAATCAAATAGCAACAGTGTGGTGTTCCTGATTTCAGCCTTCATCCCTCAGATAATAAAGCAGCCCCCTAGGCTGCCTGTTCAGCACATTGTATAAAACTACTGCTCCTCAGCTGTCTGTGCCCACTCACAGTGAACAGAACACTTCTGCTCTTCTAATTGTCATTAGGAAACTACAGAAATCATATAGACAGATTAATAAAAAGCTTTAGATCTCTTTTTAAAAATACATATTTTGTCCAAGACAGCTACAACTTCCTATTTTCAGCTGCCTTCACGTCATTCAAGTTCTTCAAAGAGATGCCAAGAGACAAAAGAGAATCCACACTCACCACCAGGACGCTCTTACTTGAGCACCATTAATGGTACTTTCAAATAAAGACTTGGAAAGCTTGTCAATAAATTCTCTAAACTAAGACCTGCATATCTGGTTCAGAAAGGAGGAGAGCAAACTTCTCCTCCAAGAAAGACAGACAGAAACATCAACAGGACAGAGCCAGCAGAGCAGAAAAGCACATTTTTCAGTGGTTAAGTCCTCACTCTTTTCTGTGGAGATGTACGATGGCACGTGTGTGATTCACGCTCGCCACTCTAGTACAGTAACTCCTGTAAATTTAATTTTGCTGACACAGAAAAGATGACACCAGCTGCTAGGGAGCAAAGCAAGACATCAGTAACACCAAGTGCAGAGAGGTGACCCTGGTGGTGCTGTCACAGCAACAGGAGCTGTCCCCTCCTTAACTTTCCCAGTGGTTCAGCTGAATTAAGACATGAGCTGAAGAAACACAGCTATGTATGTATGTACCTGGTAATGCTGCTCTGACTTTCTGTGAAACCAATACAAGATCGAGTATAGCAGATAAAGCATTAACCAGCGCAGGATCTGAGGAAAAAAAATCGCCGTTGTTTTGCAAAAAAGAAGTTGTTTTACCAGTAATCTAAGCATACTTACAACATTCTTACAAGCCTACCATCACGCTCAAAACACTGATCACTCCTCACAGTTCTGGAAGATGTCAGCAAACGTTTTTATTGAAGTCTTCAGAAAGGCGATGAAAGGAAGAGTGTGAAGCAGTCAGTGGTGGAGCTGATGTCGGGATGCAAGGCTGCCTGACACCCACACCTGAGTTTTTTATCCTAGGGAACATTAATTACTCCAACAGGACTTCAGGAAAGGAAAGTATTACTGAACAAGCTGTTCTGGGGAAACAAAAGTGTCATTAAAAACCAGGCACTGACTGTTCTTCCTCAGCAGAGATGAGCAGCACGATGGCGAGGGGTACATAAAACAAGGCTCCAAACTCAAACACAGCAAGCCTGGTTTCAAGCAAAAACCCAACCCCTCCAAAACCCCCACGACACCACTTGGTGAGGGAGCTGGTGCTGAGCTTCCACCATTTCACTCGAGATCCCTGCTGCAGCCAACACCAGACTCGGCCTGTGGGGACACTGAGGACACGACGTCACCATGTCACCATGCGCAGGGCAGGCACGGGGCAGCCCAGCACACTCAGCCTGGCAACTGCTTCTCTCTTAACCTCCATTAAGAGGCCAGAGAACCACACACATCATAATGAGAACTGAGTGTTCAAAGCAAGACTCCCAAGATACTATACAAAAAACTCCTGTATGCACAGGATCTGAAGTATTAAAATCGCCAAGAAAATCTGGTTTGCAAAACAGTCTTTTATTGTATCCGTGCCACACATACTAGTGAAAAAAACCACTCCTAAAAAAAGGAAAAGAAAAAGAATGCTACCTTTCCACAATATTTCTTTTAAATAAAACTTCAAGTACTCTTACATTAGTACAAAAGAAATCCTGGTCTATCTGCCCCAGCAGGCCACCACAACACACAGTAGATAAAACACAGTGGTTACAAACGTCTTTTTTGTTATTTCTGTGGCAAGGCAAATGGAGGGAAATGCTTCTATGAAAAAATACTGTGTGCGTAGGAAATCGTCACAATTTTATTCCACATGGATACAAATGATCATACTTGAATTTGAGGCCGTGGTGGCTTGAAATCATATAACAAAATAGAAAAATGGAAAACTAATATCCCCTACACCCTGTTTTAAAGGCAGGCACTACCAAGATTAAGGAGACTCCACAGTGTTGGTAGAGGATAATTACTGTACAAGCCATATAGCTCTAATTACCTTAAGACTAAAATAAAATGCTACCGTCCTCCTAAGGCATAAACAATAATGTCTGCAAACAATATGTACACATCATACATATTTAAAACAAGACTTAATATAAACAATAATGAACAGTATATACATGTCTCAATTTTTCTTCACTGTCTTGAAATACAATTTAACTACACAAGTGATGCAGCAACATATATATAAATGTACTTGTAACTCTACAGTAAAGTTTAATTTTAGTGCTTTTACAGCACATCAGTGTAAACAGTTTTACTTGGCTTTGTTTTATATTTTAAAACATTCCTTGTTGTATTTTCAAGATTTAAAGCAATTTTCTAATTCTTCCTTTTCACAGAAAACGAAGATTCTGAATGCTGTATAATCATAAATAATTCATAAAATTAAATACATTCACTAAAAAATAAACTACAAAGTAAAAAAATGAAAAATAGATATTTATTGAAAGGGAAAAGAGAACCATTTCCCCAAGTAGAGCTCTGGTGGTTGAATATTCAGTGCGTTTTGATATATTTTAAATTGCTATTGCACTATAACACCCCTTTCTTTGAAATTCTTTGGGTGTGCTTCCCTGTTCTACCTAAATTAGGTTGTTAAAACACACAAACCAATAACCAAGGGGCCATGGTTGCTGTAGGAGTGAAGCCTTTAGAACTAGGATCACGACTCTATGATACTGGAAAGGAAAAAACCAGTCATTAGTTATGCACGTGCCTTGCACTTCCACGTCAATACAGTTCACATTGCTGGTCTCATCAGTCCTCATTTAATGGAAAACAAAAAGGAACAGAAAGAAAGAGGAGGTCGGGCAACTTCAGCTCACTTTGAACATCTCTGTCCATTTTTTTTCAAAATACTTCCTCATGCTGTGGCCAGCCCTGCCTATGTCAGAGTCATCTTCGTTAAAGGTTTCACAGTTGTCAAAAACAAGCCTGACATCTAGCGAAAACGCTTCAAGATTTGGGTACCTGGAAGAAGAGAAAGTGAATGATTTTTGGGACACGGAGAACCAAAGGGGACAAACACTTAACCGCAAGAGAAAGAACTGCCTCAAACCAGAGAATCTACACCCAGACACAGAACAGTCCATGAATGCTCTGCATGGTAATTACACTCTTAATTTCTTCATTCTAATTCAAATATTAACCAGAAAATGAGCATTGGTGGAAGGAAATACAGTCTCATCATTGTACCTGTTATTTTCCTCAAAGACTGAAAGGCAGAATTTCAAGCCTGCCCTGGAAAACAAACTTAAAAAATTAACTTCCCCCATTCCTTCAATAGCTTTCTAGCTAAAATGCTGTGGCATTTTCTATTTCCTCGTCTATTCTTGGGCTCAAGTCCATTTAAAGTAAGCGCAGAGCACAGCTGCATTTCCCCACAAGAGGAACCACCAGGTACAAAAAAGGCTGCCCAGATCAATCCTGTAACTATGTCTTTGGTATTCTATCTTTAACATACACAGCCCAAATCGTGTTCAAATATTCACAGCTGCGACTCCCTTCACTTAAAGCCCACAGCTGTACCACCACTAAGGGGTCTCAGTGGAAACAGGTGAGGAAAAGACATTTTTTCTGTTGATTTTGTGCACTAGACCTGGCAGTTCTGTTGCTGTTCAGCCAGTACTCCCACTTGACACACTACTTCACTTAGATATGGCAAAGACAAAAGTTTAATTAAAGTTTTTGTTTTGACTGTAAAAGTAATCAGAGAAGCGCCAGAGCAGGCAGATCAAGATAGTTTAACTAATTTTTTTAAATGTACTGTATTTCAATGCTGATTTTTTTAAAAAATACAAAGTAAAATTTACAATAGGTTTACTTACTGTCCACTACTTAGCTTGTCTCTAATGGTGGAAAAGTCCATAGGTTTTTTTATAACTTTCTTGTAACCAGGAACAAGTTTCAAGTTTACAGGAAGTAAGAAAGGCCAGGCATCTTCATGAGTTTCCAATTCTGAGAGAATCATGCTGAATAGAATAAGGTTTTAAGTCAGTATTTTTAAGCTGTTCGTATATTCACAGAGGTTTTCACTGTTCCATGAATTCATCCTGCACTGCCAGCCTATTCACTTTACAAAAGGAAAGCACTTTATTCTGTGTCCTACGCAAGGCTGAGAACAGTGCCCATAGAGACAGACCTCTTGGCTGAGATTTAAAACAGCATTAAGTTCTCTGCAGCCAGCCTATGCGAGATGAACTTCTGGGGATCCACATGCTAAAAGAAAAGCAGGGCCCTGCAACTTCAGTGCTGTGATTCCCAATATAACCCATTTGCAAACCAGTAAAGCAGCTGCTGTCCCGGCTTCCCAGAGCTGTGCCAAGGCTGCAGTAGTCACTTTGGGTGACAGCCGCACCACACAGTGCTCCTGTCACTGCCCGTGGGGCAGCCCTTTGGCCACAGTGGGGGTCATGGCTGCACCCCAGAATGCAGGGAGCAGCCCCCACTGCTGGGCTCCTGAAGTAAGACTGCACATTTCAGCATTGGCCACTTTCCCAAGCACAGCCATCACCACCAGCACGCACACATCTATCCCTTATGCACACACTCAGGGTGCCACAGCCCATACGGGATCCCCAGCAAGGAACAGGGCTCCTGCTCCCCAGAACACAGGTACAAGGGACCAGGCATTCCTTGTCTCAACAACACTTACCCAAGCTTAAAATTTGCCACTTTACCTGCATATCGCCAGGTCCTTGGACTCATCTCTTTTAGGTTTCTTAATAGCAGTGAAATTTTCTTGCTTTAATTGGCTTACAGAAACATTTTCATCCAGTTTTCTTTTTTTTGAGTCTGTTTTTCCTCGTTTTAAGGAGGCGCTTGTAGTTGCAGAGTCCTCATCCTCGGTATCTCCTGCTAACTTCCTGCTTCTCTTCTGTTCGTTACCTTTTTTCCCTTTCATTTGAAGTTTTTTTATTTTTAGAGTTTGCCCACTTGCCTGCAACAGAGAGAACTGAAATAAGCGATAACCAAGAAATTACAGAAACCTCTGTTATTACAGACAGACAGCAACGAAGATCAGACAAAGAGAAGCACCAAAACAATGCAAGCATTTAATATCAGAGATTGTTCACTTTCTGCTCTTCTCTGAAGGCAAAGGGACAGTAAGGCTGTAGAAATTCCCGTTACCAATGATACAGGTTCCCAACTTGTACCAATACAATAGCACCTGCCCTGCAGAGGGGTAAAATACTCCCTGCTGTCAAACCAGGCTGGCACAAGTTCAGACAAGTATTTGTCTATTCCTAAAGGACTGATAAAACCACAGCTGGAATAGTAGATTCATTTTCAAGAACAGTATTATTTGCAAGATACGGAAAACTGGAAAAGAGTTTTTAGAAAGTCAGGGATGGGATCAACTGATTTAAAGATTAAAAGTTAGGTATGAAAGAAATGGATAGCTTGGCTACATGACAACTACAGGAGAACATAAAAGGGGTACAGCAATACAAGAACGCTACTAACAAAGTGGGGAAAAAGGAACATTATTTAATACAGAACTGTTTCTAGACAGTAAGATGAAACTAAAGGAAACATTGAAGATGGAAAGCTGTTAACTGTATTGAAAGCACCATCACACGGCACCATCCTGGAAGTCACTGTTCTGATCATCAAACAGGAACTTTGCGGATGTGAAAACTGTGGGCTTGCAAACAACACCCACTGCTAATGCGGTTGTTTGAACAGCATCATCCTAAAGTGCTGTTTAGACTCCTTCTTGGGAGGGGAAAAACCAACAAGCCTCACACAGGGAACTTGCATGGCCTCCCTCTCGAATGGACTGTGCAGCAAAAAAGCACAACTCAAGTATGGTCCTGAGCCAGCAAGAAAATTCTGTACCTACGTTCATTAAAAAAAGCTTCAAACGAATCAAACTGCAGCCTTTACTGTCAGTCTCACTGCTGAGTGTCAGCCCAACGTAAGGCACAGACACCACAGCCAGAGCTGTACCTATCCCGGTCTCCTCACCTTCGCGATGCAGGCGGGACAGAACCAGTCTCCGTCGGGGATGGTGGTGATCTTGGGTCGGTGGCAGTACGTGTGGCAGCCTTTGTCGCAGCCGTCGCACAGCAGCAGCAGCTCCTCGTTGTCTCCCTTCCGACAGATCTGGCAGTACTGAAATACAGGAGAAACAGCTTTAATTCAGCTGTTAAAGCTTGAAACACAGGAATGGTTCCTAAATTACCTTTCCTCTCCAGAAACACAAACTCTCTCAAAATTATTTTCATTTTACCACAATCACAGTCACTAAGGATCGTGTTTGTAAAACAACATGTGAGGATCTAATCTACAGACCACATCTGGGAACACATTAAAGCAACTCATTGTAAGACGTGTCCTACAGCACACAAAACCATGAACACTTTTGATATTTCATTAATGTTTGTCAGAATTGAAGGTATCTTACACCCATAAAAAACACTTGTCCCACACATACTCTCTCAGGAACCTGCTCTTCATTTATGTCCATGCTACATATCCAAGTTGTTATATCATAACAATAATCTATATTTATACATGAGTATATTCAAGTATAATCCCTACTGAGGGCAGGGATCCAAAGGCCACCATGAACAAATTCAGAAAGGCAAAATAAACCATCCCAGCACATCCTAACACTCAAACTTCGAAGTATCAACTGTACTGTCCATTTCATTGCACACATGGAGTGATTCTGATACTTCTCTATATCTGGACTTCTTTTTCAGGAACTTAAAGATCTCCACATGTTTTCATCAAAACCATGTACTGTGTAATTAAATGCACAGAACAGTTCAAGCAAATGGAGATTGATAGTGTACACTTATTCTGGATAATAAATTATCACACCTTGAAACATTCAAATGCCTTTCCAGGTGCTCCCACAAGACACAGCTTAAAACCTATAGCTATATAAACTCAAAGGTACAGTCTTACACTATAGTTTTTATTTAAGTCATCCTTTAATTGTCCAGATGTAATTAGAATCTGTATAGGAAAAAATCAGAAAAGACCCCTAATAAAAGAATCCCTTTTGCCACCCACTCCACAGCACTCGCCACCTAATAACGTCATCACCACTATTGCTGCGGTGATAGTTTTCAGAAATTCGAGGCTCAGAGGCCCACGCACATTTTGACACGTGCATTTTGTGTGCCTGCTCTGTGTATGCAGTTAACACAGGTCTGCTTGCTCAGTGTACAAGGGGTATCGCAGCCCATTTGCTCACACAGTCGCCAATCCGTGTGTGCAGCCGTGAGAAGTGTCTGTGCAAAGGAGCTGCACATTTGGAGATCAACTTCCTGAAAAATGAAGTCCTTAACTGGGCTGTGTGGTGCTGGACCTACACAGAGCTTGTGTCACAGACCAGACCAGGAGCAGGCCATCATCTTTACCAGATGGGGCCAGAAAGGACTCTTTTACCTACGTGTTAACAACCAAGAGCCATTACCATCTCAAATAAAGCAACCAGTTACAGAGCCTTTTACCTTACGAAGTTCAGGATGCTGAATTTGGCAAGACGACGACAGTTTTTTCCATTACACATATATTTACCTGTGCATAATGTACGGTTTAACCATATTAAGTTTTACGTGCATTAATAAGAAATAGATTATTAACCATGCCACCTTAAAATGCCTAAAGTGAGAACACAGGATATAGCAAAAATAGTTTAGTTATGGTATTTGGTTTTTTTTTTTAAATTAAAAACACTTACAACTTTCATAATAGATTTTTCCCATGCTATTGATTTCTGTAGCTGCTGAATGCACAGCGCTACCTGTGCAGCACTGCGCGCTTCTGACAGCGCCCTTCTCCATACCCTGAGCCCTGGAGCAATATCCTCTTCAGTTCTGCATTGAAACACAGAGAAATTGAGTAGGTCACGGCCATTTTGTAACGTTCAAACGTGGAACAATCATCATCACATTGAAAGCCAAGCAATGACAAAACGTACACAGCCAGTAAGTATAAGGTTTAAGCAACTAAATTTCATGTAGTGCACAGACTGTGGCTACGTGCCTCAAAGCTTAGTCACAACCAGTTAAATGTAAGATAACTTTGCAAGGTTATCAACAAACGTAACAAAAAATATCTTTACAAAGCACCATGCAGAATAACATGATCCATACGGATCACAGACATACAAGAAAGTACATAGATAACAGGCAATAAGAAAATAGGCTCCAATTAGCAAAGAAGCACAATAATTTTTCAAGTTAATCTCAATAACCTACCCGTCACCATCACCACTAATGGATGGTGCAGGAGCAGGGACAGTAACTGTGCCCACATTATCCAGTTTGATCTGAATGGTGGTACTTAAGGGGCTCTTCAGATACCTTCGCTCTATGTTCCGCTCCAAGTCAGCCAGCCTGGTTACAGCTATATCTAGAGGGTTGTCACTCCTCCGCTCTAGAGAGCTGGCATTGCCTTCGCCGCCTCCAGCACAATCCCCATCGTGCTTCTTGTGCAATCTAGCAATTGACTTATGTTCACGATATACCAAGTCGTCTCTCTCTGACGCAGGTTCAGGACACAGCCAGCCCTATGTTAATAGAAAGGTTTGTGCATTTATTGGTTGCTGTTAACCCAGCGTGTCAACAGAGGAACTGTTTTACGGACTCAAACTAAGTAACTGAAGCGCTGTTTCCAGTAGATCTTGGTTACTTGTAATCCATCTGTAGAGACAGTTTCCAAAATATCCAGAGAACTAAAATAATTAATCAAAACATACAAGCATTACCAGACTTTCTGCAGGGACCTTTCTGCAGCAGCCTGCACTCTCGTTACTGCTCTATTGGTCCAAACATAGAAGGGGTCTGTCTGACACCGGGCTCAGGAGACAGCAGCAATCGGTCACACAGCAACAACATCCACCCCTAGAGCAAACTGGATCCCAAATACTGCATCTGTCCTATAACCAAACAGGCAATTCGAGGTCCTTACACCCACCATGGAGAAATTCCCAATTGTAACAACAGCCAGCGAATTCCTTCACACTCAAAACCACTCATAGCTATCGTTCGATCTCCACCACTCTACAAGACTCAAGCAAAGCATGATCAGGTACTTGTAGGCTTTTCTGAAAGCATTAACAGCAGCAATCACCCAAATCAGGCAGAACCATGGCAAAACCACTATCACAAAGCAGTCTGTATGCAGTAAAGTCTTTGCATTCATACAAGGTTAGCAACACGTGCAGGGAGCTGCACGCTATGGGAGCGCTCTCCAGAACTGCCCTTCTGAGCATCTTCAGCTGAAGATGTGACCACCGTAAAATGTCCCAAGCACAAGCATCCAAGATCCTACTGCAGTGGATTTGTTTATTGGCAGACAATTAGAGATGAGTAAGAAGGGACTTACCAACAGCAGGACTGCTACCACTTCAAATTCTTACCACTTATTTTAAAGAGACATGTTACTAAAAGTTGGTTTTTACCTTAACTTGTAAACTAGCTGATGCAACTCTCCTCTCTAGATCTTCCACCTGCTGAAGAATAGCAAGATCCATCTCCATTGCTTGTTCTTCTACTGACCAGTTTTCCACAACATCTCGAGTTACCTGGTTATCTTCATTTTCATTGATATCAATAATTGCAACTGTATTTGAGAATCACATTTTTATTATTTTAATTAGTATTATAACTTCTCTGAGTAAAATCAAGCTGATATACCTGTCACTCCAGCCAAATGGTGGCAAACTTGTAAACGTGTGGTACTCTTAAGATACCCAACATGGACAAGTTCTGTAGGTTTGCAAACTTGCAATTTAAAGATGAGAAGGGAGAGGAGAGGCTGAGCTAGAGTCTAACAGAGATGGAGAGAGCTTAGAAAGGTTACCAGCACTTACAGAGCAGTTCACGTTAAACAGGGTTTCTCCAGTCCTGCACCCTCACAGAACAGGGCTGGTGAAAAGGCAGCTGCAGTCAATGAGACCTCCACCTTTCTCCAACCACTGTCCTAACCTCTGTCTACACATCTCCAGGAGCTCTGTGCCAACCATCTTACGCCCCACCACCACGCATAACAAACGGAAGTTACATACCATCCTTGTTTTTGATGCAGGCTAGAGTGATATAATCCATGTGTTTCTGGATTTGCTTCTGTAAGGCCTTTTCTCTTATTCCCCTGAGATGCAGCACTTTAAGCAAAGATTTTAGGTCCTCCGGATCAGTAATCCTCCACCACCCATACTGCATTTCTAAATCAAGACAAGCACATCGACACGTGCAGGCATTTTTTACGCGATCACACACAATCAGATTAGAGAAGTCATCTAGCCAAATTCAACAGGCAAAAAATGAAAAAAACCAAACTGCATCATCACAGCAGCACTGTAGAAGTTATCCTTCATACAGCTGTGTATTACTGTCATGTTACACTTACCTTCTGGTATCGGTTTTGGGACAGGGTAATCTACTGGCTTGGCCACTTCAGCTGCTGCGGAAGGGGCAGAAGCTGCTTTCTCAGTCTGCAGTGCTGGTGACTCGCTTTTACTCGCAGGAACCCCAGATGTGACGAACGAGTTACCATTCGCCTCCGACAACCCCAGCCCTGATCCGAGAGCAGGCAAAGGGGACGGAAAGGGAACGTTTGAGGTGAGAACTCCCGTAGGCCATCCACAAAACTGAAGTCCCATTATCGGCAGTCCAGTCTTCATCTGCTGCACAGAACACGATGTTAACACAATCACAGCCAGCGTTATTAATTATTAACAAGAAGCCTAAATTGTGATTAGGGTGCTATTTCTCCAACAATAACCAGAACATAAAGGAGGTCTTTACTCAGTACTTCCATTAGATTAAGAAAAACCAATGTAACACCAATGTAAGACCAATGTAATATGATGTGCGATACTCCTTATTAGGGCCCTGTTACTGCTTTGAAAATAGAAGTGCATGTAAATGTGGTGTACCACACTTCTGAAAACTAGTTTGTTTTTATTTATTTGCTTTTCATGCAATAGCAGTGGCTAACCTCCTAAAACCCAAATTAAATTACTGAACTACGTGTACAAAATACCATACACTGGCTTACCTAATTTTACCTTTCTTAATCTTTTTTATCAAAAACCTCTTACTATTGTAAAACATCCGCAACACGGAATTAGTTAGTAACACTTAGAAACAGAAAGAAATAGATAAATTAAGATGTAACGATAGCACTGCTATGAAACAGTTTGTCTGAAGAGAAATCCCACCCAAAGCAGCACAGCAAATTGGGACCATCCGAATCGCGTCCTTACCTGCAGCGGCGGCAGCGCGAAAGGACTCAGCGCCACTGGGGTCTGCGCAGAGGCCGGGCCCAGCAGCGGGGAGGGAACGGGCGAGGGGGACTTGGAGGGCGGATGCGACTGCGGGGTGAGCGGGGCGGCGGGCGCCGTGTCCAGCTGCGTGACGGAGCCGTCATCGCAGGGCACGCGCGGCAGTAGGCTGAACCACTGCCGGCCGCGCTCCGTCAGCGTCTGCAGC